AAAATTCATAAGAAAATGGATTTTAATCCTCAAATCATGTCGGTATTATTAAAAATGTTCTAAATTCAGAGAAAACTTCAAAATTCTGCATTTTTGAAAGGTTTCTGTTGTATCTTAAATCACTGTCTTTCACTAGAAGGATTTTTTTTATGGGTAATTGATTTTATAGCACAAAAGAAAGACGTTTTTTATAGAACAATCTGTGTACAGAAAAGAAGGCCATTGACAGACTGTACAGAGGCAGATTGGTTTGTACAAGATTCATACACTTCTATACATCAAGGGAGCTTTGTCAAAATTTGTATTGGCTTTAGTAATTTAGATACTCTTGGTTATATCGCCTAATGTTATATTCATGAACTGAGGTGTAGACTAGAAATTCTTCTTAAGCTAGTCAGATAGTGTACATTCTATACAGCAACAAAGATAGATGCAGATTTCTATTTCAATGCCAATTTAGCCTCCGCAGGAATTTTTGGAGGAAGTTAAACATATTTCACAGCAACTCCCTTTACTGCATTCTGCAAAATCTGTAGTCAGAGGATTCAATGATCTAGGGGAAATAATTGGTTTTCCTCAAACATCCTCCGAAGACATTACAGAGATTTTAAATTCTTCTTTTCGACTTCATTTAATATCACAAATACCAGCAAGATGGCAAAGAACAGTATACCTCAGTCAAAGAAGGGGGATATTTCAGAGCCCATCACAATCCATTAGCAGATCAGAATGGTTACGTTGATGACTCTTCCGTGATAAATGCTCTCCCACAAAGATACAAGCACAGATTTCTAGGACAGTATAACCTGGAGAATCATACTCAGCTACAATGCTGTTCAGAGTTTTTTTGTGGTACAGTGCTCTTCAAAGTGGTACAAAGCATACTGTCTGTTTGAGATCATATTAAGATGCCTTCCACTGAGAGAAAGATTTTGATACAGGCTTCTCACAAAGGTGTTATGATCTCATGAGAAAGCAAAGACATACTATTCTGGAACAATTAATATGAAGCCTTACTAATAACTAACTAAGCCTCTGAGCTTAGTTTCAACATTTCTTGTCCAACTGTAGCATCTTCCTGAGAGATTACCCTGCCATGTCAGAAGCGTAACACGGGAGGACTATCAGAAAGGAGTGTTCTGCTCAGGTGACTGGGGAAATGGAGGAAGCGAAAAGCTATGTGAGCTGAGCAAAACCAGTCAAGACCCGAGAAAGAGATTCACAGAGAATCAATGTACACTGCAGAGCAGTTTTAGGATGTCGGTGGATAACAAAATACAAGAAAGCTAGAGTTAAAAGAGGTGGAGAAGAGTACAGTCAGATAGCCACGGAGAACAGATCTGTTCAAATTACAGCCAGCACTAGCGTCCTCCTTAAATGGCAGCATCAGTGTCAGCCAAGCTGAGAGCGCTGCTTCCAAGTCCTTGTGAAACCTCCAGAAAAAAAGATAAGATAAAGAATTTAAAATAAGTTAATTTACTTCATGGTTTGCCAAACAAGGCTTCCAAGCTTGGAACACAAGTTATATATCAGTGTCTCTCCCTTCACAAATTCCCTTTCCCTCTTTCTCTTGTTTATTGTTACAGGACCTTTTCTTTTGTTTTGTTTTCTTTTGTTTTGGTTTGTTATTCTCTTCTCTTGGTGACCTGAAACTCCAAACTCTTCATTGAACTTTGAGTGTAAGATCTCAAGACAGCAGTTCTTTTTGAAAAGAGCCAAACCACCATGAAATAGGAGAGCAATGACCTGTTCTTTTCCCTTCTGACCAGATGAGTACAAAGCATTTTGCTTTCCAACCAGGAGATATCTGAAAAGTTCAATTCACATGCACACATTTCAATGCAATTTATGGCATACTGCTAGAATATAGTGTACAAATTTGCATTGTCCTGCATAATCACCCCTTTTCCAAAAGATTTACTGTGGAGGTGAAGGAAGAGAAAACGGCCATGACAAGGAGAGAAAGGTTGAGATTTAATACATAATAACAATATTCTCTTCTTCTAAGATCTCACGAATTCAGCAGAGCATAGTTTCTACTGGGCATTGGCTACTACCCAGGAAAAGCTTTCTATTTGAAAGTATCACATAATCTAAAAATGTTAGAGACATCTGGCATGCATACTGCCACTATTTTCACCTTATGAGAAATCAGGAATGGTCCGGGATTACCTAAGAAGGCAGTGGCAAAACAGGGCAATAGTGAAAACATCTCAAACTAGAAAAAGGGTAAAATCTTTTCAGTCTTTACTAGCTGCATGGTTTTGTATCGAGTGTCTGAATATCACTGAGTTGGAAAGCCTAGGGTCTAAATAGATTGGTTTCACACGTTTTCTGTGTGACAACAGTTCTGTTACTTCCTATTGTTTTACCTTTTTTCAGAGCTGGCTGCTTCTGTCAAAGGCTGGGCCAGTCCTTCTGTGTCATATAAAGTACATTTCTCAATTAACAAATGCTTGTACTTGTTCCCTATTCTGAGAACTTATTATACTATCTTCAGCTATATTTATGAAAAGGAGAATTATTTGTTTCAATCTGTCCCTTCACCTGAGCAGTGATATTTAGTGAAGTACCAGTCATAAAGGTATGTAAGAATTAAGAAGTCACAGACAGATATCTCTTCAACTATTTCACAGATTTACATTTCTCTGCCTCCTCCTTTTTTTCCCTTCTGTCACTGTGCCAAATATTCCCATAAATTACTTAATTATTTTCCCCTGGGTTGAAATAAAGCTTCAGGGTTCAGGGTTCCTAAAGGCACTGTGGTGTATTTTCTCATATATGGAGACCACAGAATAGTGCAATATAGCAGCTTTTCACAGTAGCATTTTGCAAGTAATTCTTCCTTCTTCATTTCCTCCAAATCTGTGGCATGAACAGTATTGTATCCTAGTGACTGGCCTTGAGCCTTAAAGGGAATTTAGTTGTATGATTCTGAGCAGATAATCTGCCCCCCAATTTGTTTGCCAAATGGGTTTCTAATTTACATTCACAATTACCTCAATTGCATGCATAAATGAGCTAATGAAACACACAAATGTGTAACTGGTCATAAATAGTCATTTCCATGTGCAATTGCAGTAATTGCATGCTCTTCATGATTTTGAAAATCAAGAACTTAATGTTAATTTGATGCTAGTTCATGTTGTATAACAGTTATATTTAAAGATTAAATTTATCACTTGGCAAATGCAGCAGTCTTTTTCTATTATGCTTTTTTCCCATTATGGTTAATTGGTGAATAACAGTGTTTAACATTGCAGGGACTTCTTTTTGCTGATAAGCAGGGTTCAAACATTTCCCTAAAATAAGCAGGACTGAAAATCTATTCATGTACTACATTGTGTCACAATAACCACAGTTTTATACCCCTTTAAACAGTGTGTTTATAAAGAAATATTTATTTGAGGTAAAAGATTTTGGGGAAAGAGATAAGAAATCACTTAACTATTTTTATCCAAACATTCTGATTCACAATAATCACATAACAGAAATATCTAATTAAATTAACTCTTTGTTTTAGTCATAGGCTCTGCCAAAATCTAACTCTCATTTTCCGTTTCCAAATGCAAGAAAATCTTGTCGCTCTTGTTACTTATTCTGCTGCCATCCCATCTGTTTTTCTCTTAGATTGCAATTGCTTTCTGGATAACATAGAACTAAGACGTCTATGAGAGAGATTAGCAAGTGCCATGGTGTGACTGAATGACTCTGAAGTATTATATGAAACCTGCTACATAATTACAGGAAAAGACTCATATGTTTTGTACTATTAAATTGTATGGTGTAGAGACCGAGGATGTATATTGCAGTAGTAGTTTTAGGTCATTGGACACAGTCCATTTTAAAATTCAAATGCATATTTCAACCATTTTACTGATATGATTAGACTGTAAACAATATAATTTAATTGCAGGGTTATGTTTTAATCTTCTGAAGGTAAGATCTGACATTGTATTTTTCTTTCAGTGGTTTTAACAATAGGAATAGGGATGATAAATGCAGAGCCAGAAATATTATGTTCATTATTGCAGATAATACACAGAAACGTTTCTGAATAACAATAGCTGAAAGAATAATCCAAAGTATATTAAGGGGATAATGTTGATTATGTTTACAGTTAGATGGCAACTTATGGCTGAACACTATCTAAAGCATTTTACAGATTGGGCCTTGATCCTGTAATCTATTTCACTCAGGAAATCCCCTGAGCCATCTGTGGGACTACTGTAAGGAATATTTAGGTCTTGTCATGCAAATATGACTGTGGCATTTGTGTCCCGGGCCTAATCATTTCCTCAGTTTTGTAATGTAGGTTTGTCGTGGTTTAACCCCAGCCAGCAACTAGGCACAACGCAGCCGATCTCTCACTCTCCCCTCTCCCAGTGGGATGGGGAGAATAGGAAAAAAAAGTAACAACTCATGGGTTGAGATAAGAGCAATTTAACAACTAAAGTAAAATAAAATATAGTACTAACAATAAGAATAATAATATATAATAATAATAATAATAGTAATGAAAAGGAATAATAATAAAAAAGAAATATAACCCAAGAAAAGACAAGTGATACACAGTGCAATTGCTCAACACCCACTGACCGATGCCCGAGCAGCGATCAGCCCCTCCCGGCCAACTCCCCCCAGTGTATATACTGAGCGTGATGTCCGATGGTATGGAATATCCCTTTGGCTAGTTCGGGTCAGCGGTCCTGGCCATGCTCCCTCCCAGCTCCTTGTGCGCCTGCTTGCTGGCAGAGCATGGGAAACTGGAAAATCCTTGACTTAATGTAAGCACTGCTCAGCAACAACTAAAACTTCAGTGTGTTATCAACATTATTCTCACACTAAATCCAAAACACACTGTACCAGCTACTAAGAAGAAAATTAACTCTATCCCAGCTGAAAGCAGGACAAGGTTACGTTTATAAACAAAATCCATTAGAAGAGAGAGTCAAGTTAATGAGTAGAAGCCAATAAAGGAGGAAAAATCTCAAACTTACCTTCAATAGCTGCTGGTTTCTTTCTTGGACTATGTTCAAGAAGAAGACGAGGTGGTACCATTTCCTTATGTCCTGCACATGAGTATACAGGTTAAGAAGCATAGAAAATGTATTCACTAACAGGCTAAGCAGATTCACTGGGGGGCTGAGCTCCTTTCAGAATTGTTCATGTTTAAAATATTACACTGTGCATAAAAGCTATTATATTCCAGACACCATAGGAAGGAAATGTATTTCTCAACAAATAAAGTAATTTATTTTTAAGAGACACATTTTAAATCAGTGAAGTCCAAGTGACTCAAGCACATGCTGAAATGCTTACAGTTCTATTTTTCTTCATTAAACTAAAAAACTGAAGAATAATACTGTGATAATAAGGTTACATATTCATGATGCCTCTTCTACACTAAAAGCTTATTTTCTTTTGTCAAACAAATGATCTTCAGTCGTTCCCTCAAGTCCACTTATTATGAACTTCTTGAAACACCAGTAAAAATTATTATGTTTCTCATCCTTAAGGGTTATTCTTAATTAGCCAATACCAACCAGGTCACACACTGTAAATGCTGACGAGGTTCTGATTCCACCTGCTGACTGAAACACTTCTACTCTCTCAGAGTTTTGAACTGTACTGTCTCATAGTATTGAACTGGGACTTTCTGTACTGTCTTAGCCTACGTGCAGATACCATGCTTTTTCCAAAATAATTTTCACTTCATTTCCCCAAAGATTCACAAACAGATCTATTGCACTCTTATATCACTTATGCTTCTTTTCTGGTTTATAACACCTGTTTGCAGTCTCCTTATTTCTTCTTAATTTCTTTCTCTGACATTTATGCTCAGTACCTATTGTGTCATTGTCATTTGGAAAGCACAATTTGTTGTGACCTGTGAAATCAATTTAAGTAGTTAAACATGACATCGATTCAGTCATGTGCACCAGCATACATTCACTGCACCAGAGTCCACATGCAATCAGGCTGTTAAATCTCAGCTCCAGCTCCACATCAGAAACTCAAAGCCATGCCTCATGCTTGGCGATAGACTCAGAAGAGAAATTAAGATCTTAATGAGCCTTGGAAACTGCAGTATCATACTTACCCCTCATTTTACAAAGGTATGTATACTCCTGGGGAATGCACGAGAAAAACATCATCTTGAAGACAGCAGTGTGATTTCAGCACCATGGTCTTAATGTTATCGCATCTTATCAGCATATGTATGATTGCAGGCAAATAATTTGCAAGCATGTAGTTTAGTTCATCCAGTAATTTGTATAAAATATCACACATGGAGCCACTCAAACTTGACTCACGTGCCTAAGCCACTGACAAAATGTCGACGCATTGACAAAATCTATGCATTGAAGGCGCAGTGCAACAAATGGTAAAAATCTTAGGTTTTGCATGTATTTCCTGTCTTGGCAATAATCACAAGAGGATATTTACTAATCTCATCACAGAATGACTCTAGCCTTACAATGAATTGTAAGCAAACTTCAGGAATCCAGATGCCTAGCCATGATTTTCCAAATATTTTTTTGTCTAAAAAAACCCCATCTTGAAATTGCAAATTGAGCTAATGAGATGCTGAATACCATTTGCTGCCAACCAGAATAGAAATATTGTATCCATAACCTCTGTCAACATACAGGAACTGCATTAACTGAATTCCTAATTCAGAATGAAAACAAAAACGATACAAAAATTAATGAAGAACGGATAAATAATCTTATTCTTTCTGCTAGTTTTGATTAAAGTCCTAGACTAAAGTTTAGTTCTTTTTTTTTTCTTTTCCTTGTTTTTGCATAAACTAGATCACCTATCCCTAGATGGAAAAAGTGATAAATTTTATAACTTGCACTAATTGTTCTGTGTGAAAGATGATAAACGGCAGTGGCTCAGAATGTTAAGTAGAGCAGTAATGAAGAAGGATAGTCAATAATTTGGACTGCAGTGTGGTATCTACTGTGTGGGGCAATGATCTAACACCTCTAGGTCAAAGTATAGGCTGGCCCCATTATCTTCCTGTTCTTTGCTGTAGCAGCAGTTTTCTAATGATTGCACCAGTGTTAGTATAATGCCAGTGCGATACCACTTATTGCTAATGACTTGTCAAGTTCTATTTTATAGTTTTACAAGTTTTAAACAAATCATTTATTTCATGCAAATTGACCACATGATCCAATATGAGAGTGTTTTAAGCACCAAAAGCTTAAGCTTCACAGATCAAAAACTTTCCCTTAGGCCAGAATGTTTGCTCTGAGCAGGTTCCCATCCACTCTGATAAAAAGCTTCTTTAATGTTTCCATGTGTTATTAAATGTCTCTCTATTCACTTTGATGGGAATGCAAAGGAAAGTAGCTGAATAAATATTTTATCCATTCTTTTGATGAAATATGTTAAAGGGGATATCCTAAGTCAGATTTTTTCTCTCTTCCTTTTTCTCTCCTCTGTAAGTTATAAAGCACAAGTGGTTTTCTGCAGTACAGAGAACTCATAAATAGAAATGAAGAATTGGCCTCAACAAATCAGACCATTAGGATTAATGGTGTCTACTATCTTGACTCCAGCAGTGGCCAGTTGGACACATATTCATGATGTAAATGAGAGGAAGGCAGGATGTTTTTAATGATCCCAGTGGACAATCAGATTAGTCCATGAATCATGAGAATTCATTATCCAGATTACCACTATTATTATTGGACATACAGTTATCTCACTGCTTTAAAAATGTGGCCACGGAAGAGTACTGAAATTTAGTGTCTGCATATTTATTTGCTTCTCATTTCAAATGTAGACTTTATTTTTCTACTATGAGATAAGCTGGAAAGGTTCATTTGACTTGATTTTGGTTTTTATTAGGTTTTGATTGCTCCAAAAGCCATAATTGCAAGCACAAAAATGTGCCTACATTTCTATCCCTCATCTGTCCATGCAGTTGTGCTACAGATACCTCCTTCATATATGATATTGTAAACAGCTGACAACAAGTCACAGCCGATCAAAACCGAAATGGTGAAATGTTTTGACTTTAAGCTCATGGGAATGTGCTCACCAGGAGAAAAAGCATCATGTTAAGACATGAGTAGCTTCCTCCACTTCCTGAAAGGAAAGAAATATGCTGCAAAGATGAGTAGAAGGTTTAAGACACTAGATGGTAACATGAATACTTCATTGAAAATAAGCTGCAGTCCTCAAGCTCTGTGAAACTTCTGTCATCGGTGTTTATTAAATCACTTGAGTTGTCATGAAGAAATTAATTCTGACTCGGTTTATGAATATTTTAGATTTTATATTACATGATAAGGATTACAAGACAAACTTTAATTATCTTACTTTTCTCAATCTAGGAAGCGTCTTTCTACATGTGTCAAAAATGTCATGTCCGAGCATTGAGGATAAATTGATTTCTTATGATAACAGCAAATCATGTGGGTTTTCTTTTTTCCCTGATCTGCCCAGTTCAATTTGTCTGCAGTGACCTTAACTGACATAGATAAAGTCTCTAAATGTATCTTGCTAAATCAAAAGATCATGAGATTAAAGAAAATACTTCTAAAATTTTTATTTTTATTATTAAATAACTAAAGGCATTGTAGACAGCTGAACATTCCAATTGCATATGGGGAGAAATAATATCACCACAGAAAGCAATATGTGGAAACACCGTTTCTATGACTGTGCACTTCCTCATGTCTGTATACCGGTTATCTGAACAGCAGGAATCCTACAATCTGACAGCACCAACATTTTGTTACAGTGTCTCTCAAATAGCACAGCACGATATCTTCAGATAAATTTCATTCTGCCCAGATGTCACTTCTTTCCCTAATGATAGTAGAAATAATTGAAATAAATTGAAATAAAGTGCTGTTTGCAGAGTCATTTGTTACGAAAAGTAAATTCAAATCAAATGTTTCATGAAGCTTGAAACAAGGCATGGATCAGCAGAATGAGGTAAGACTGCCAAATATGCTTTTAGAGGATTGAAATCTTAATGGAGTCCCACCGTGTCCAGGCTTCCAGTTTTGATGTGTAAGTTGCTTGAAGTTAAAAGATGAGCCTCTCCCTTGTTATCAGTCGTTACTCTTCAGACATTGGACTGTCACTACTCTGAGGAAGGCTTTCTCCCCTTAGTAAGTGTGCATGAAAAACTATGAGCAAACTGGTTTTCATTAAGAAAGAAGAGCTGAGGATCAAGAGGTGAGATTGTGCAATTGTTTTGAACAATGGAAATGCTCGTTTTGGGGAAGGAATTAATTGAAATACAGGTGCCCCAAATAGGCAATCTTTCTAAGGAACACATAATTAACACGATGTTTTTATGTACACTAGTAAATTAAATGGTGCCTGGGAATATTACTGGGCTCTGGAATTCAGACATACACATCCTGCAACATTTTTTTTAATAGCCTCCGACAATTTTGACCTGTACCAAGTAGCAATGTCTCAAACAATTCATTGGCTCAGTTCAGGAGTTAGCAAGGGCCAGGGACCACTCCCAACAGACAGCTGGGGTGTAGCTGGCCCATGTTGGCTTTGAAGAAGTGTAATGGTTGCCCATCACTCTATGACAGAAGGAATTACATTCAGAGAACAGTTGAGTTTGATTTACTAATCTAGATGTAGCCCACAAGTCTTAAAAGTGATAATGAAATTATGTCAAATGAAAAAAAGAATAGTTTAAACAGGGTGTTAATGACCTATCTGGAGCTCAATTTTTGACAGCGGCAGATGGAATTAATGGATAATAAAATGAGGCTTTTAGGGAGGTCAATCTTAGTAGCTAACATATATTTCAGGTTTTTAATTACATTCAGGATCTGGCTCTTTATTAAATGGATATTTGCCCAACATACAGTAAAACTCTCATTTTGCATGAGGTTGATATTACCTAAGGAAAAACACTGCTACAGTATATGCAGTGACTACCAGTAGTAAAACAATCCTTTAAATTTTCCTATTCTGTTACACTGGCTATCGGCCAGTTGTTATTATTATGATGCAGAAGAAAAGGAAAGATTACATAGATAATGCCCAATCTATCTATATGTTCCACTTGGGTTTA